AGAGACAACATGGAGGACTCTGCAGAGAGAAACGGGAGGTCTCTCCTGTTCCCTTTCTGATGGTGGGCAAGTTTCACTGCACCTGTACTAGAAAGGATAGAGTGGAGAGAAGGATGTGTGGGCACCAGGACCTTCTTTGAAGAAAACTCTCTGTTAGCTAGGGACTCAGACAATGCCTCAGTGGGAGCCTGCCTGTGTTTGTGACAGGGGAAGAGTTGCTGCTTGAGCTGGGTCTGACCAGTAACCCTATTTCAACCTTACATCCTACAAGAAACAGTCAAGCGACTCTTGACAGATGGAGCTGGGATTCTGAACCAGGCAGATCCTGGTGTAGTGGCGCACTCCTTTAACTGCATGGCTTGGCAGGCAGAGTCAGGCAAATTGCTGTGAAGCCAAGGTCAGCTGGGTTGTTTAGCAAATCCAGGACAGCCAGCGCTACATATTGAAACCCTGTCTCAAAACCGAAACAAATATGAAAGCACAGTGAGAGGCTGTTCAGAGGAGAGAGCCCTTAGCCCAGGTATAGTGTGTCCATGATTGCTGGCCAGCTCCAGGCCGAGGCCACAGGGACAGGGCTCCTCACAGTGCAGTGCCATCTAAAGCAAGACTGGAAGAGAACAATGTCAAAGATCAAGTGTAACAAGAGGAAAGCACACGCCCCCCACCTCGTCTTCTTTCTCACCCCCAGTGTGTGTGTGTGTGTGTGTGTGTGTGTGTGTGTGTGTGTGTGTATCTTGTAGTATTGAAAAATCTCATCTCAGGAATAGCACACATTTTCTGTCAGGATCTGCCAGCGATTCTGATGAGACTGATAGAAACCTGTTTCATTTTCATGTGAGATAATGAGTAGTGCAAATTCTCACAAATCTGTTCAGGGAAGATAAAGATGGCATGACCAGAGGTATTGTGCTGTAGGTGCCATCTGTATTTTATCTCTCCCAACCCCTCCTCTCCTCCAGACCTGTCCCCTTCCCTCTCTTCTCTTTTACTTCAGCAGGCCTTTGTGTGTGTGTGTGTGTGTGTGTGTGTGTGTGTGTGTGTGTGTGTGTGTGTTTTCTTTCTTACTCTCACTTTCCCAAATCTTCATTGTTTTTTTTTTCCTTACACCTCATGCCCTGTTTGGTTTATAGGAACTTGCTGGACAAAGTGAGGAATTACTACAGAATCTGGAGTAATGGGTGTTGTGAAGCCATTGTGACCAGGGACTGGCTGCCCCAAATCATGAGAGAGAAAACTTTTATCTGTTTCCCCAGTCCTGAGGAACCCTGTGTAGACTTTTGGCCTACCTGTTGACAAGAATCCATCATAAGAAGATAATTCTGAATATCTAATTGATTTATAAAATAATGAAATTTAATGTTGTGTTGTAAGTACAAAGAATCTGAATGTGAGATTGTATTTCAAGGCTGTGTAGAGTTGACCTTGGTCTCCTCAAATTCTCTCATTAATTTTTGTTTGCTGTATTTATTTTGCCTGTAGTGGGTGGTGGTATGGGATAAGCTGGTGACTAAGGCATGTCTAGATAGAAACTCCCAGGCTCTCTTTTAAAACTCCTTTCCCTCCTACCCTGAATTTCAGCATACATCCCAGGACAGTGTTGGTATGTGTAATGATAATGAACCTGCACATGCCTGAGTGACATTAGATTTTTCAAAATGAGTTATATGCTTGAGTAATTATCTAGGTTTCCCTTTCAGACTTTTGAGTTTTTAATTAGTTAAGGTTATTGACTTATTCTTCTACAGTTTCATAAGTCATACTTTAAAAAATCAAGGTTCCCCTTCCTTTTGGCTCCTTCTCAATCTCATCAAATCCCTCCTTCCCAACCCTTTTGCCTCTTTTCATGTCTTATTTTGAATTGGAGGAGGCATTCTCAAACAGGCCCGATTTACTGGCTACCCCAGATATTTATCCATGTCTGGAGACATTTGTGGTCTAGGGGAGAGGAGGTGGGGAGTAAAACAGAACAAGATGTTCTGTTCTAGGGAAGCTTCTAGATGTCTCCAGCTGAGGCTGGGAATCCTGCCTTGGCAATTCCCCATCCCATAGATGCTGACTTACCATTTAACTAACTTGTGGACTAGACTAAATTCGAGCCCTGTTTTCCTGATGTTCAGATCAATTCATTTCTAATATAGATTATAAATAAAATCATTTAATAAAAAAAGTTCTACAGAAGAATATATCCAACTAATAAAGTCAAACAGACAGAAAAAACACAAGAATTGATATGGACATACAACACTTGTGCAAGGGCATTACAGCAACTAGATTTTCTACTGGTCTTTGAAACACTTGGCTTCTTGAATGGAGTTGGTTTCTGTTTGTTTTTTTTTTTTTTTTCTAGAGTTATATGGTTATCTGGGAATCTGTTAGGCTGAGAAGGCAACAGCACCTTGATTTCCATGTGTGAGTAACATAACTTGCACTTAGGTGGTCAGACACTGCCAATGACCTTCTAGTCAGTGACCTTCTACCTTAACTAAGGATATGTAATGTATTTATTTGTTTTTATCTCATAAACACAAAATAAAGTTTCTCCTCCATTCTCACTTCATGGAATCACTTGTGGTTTGTCGGTACCGTATTTATGAATGGCTGTTTGGTCAAATGAACTCATTACCTATTTTAATGAGCCTAATTTTGATATTCTGCATGAAAAAGAGTCTCTGATCGCTGTAACAAAACACCATGACCAACACAGCTTATGAAAGAAATTTGTAGAGCTTCAGAGGGTTAGCATCCATGACCGTCATGGTGGGGAGCAGCATGGCAGCAGGCAGACATGACACCAGGATAGGAACCAGGAACTTACACCTGATCCACAACCACAAGGCAGAGGGTGGTGGGGAGAGGAACACACTGAGAAACTGGGAATGACATGGGCTTTTGGAATCTCAAATTCCACCTCTGGCGACGTACCTTCCTCAACAATGACATCTCCTAATCCTTCCAAACAGTTCCACCAACTGGGGACCAAGTATTCAAATATCTGAGCCTATGGGGGTCTCTCCCATTTGAACATCTAGTGTGTCATGGTTCAGATACAAAATGTTACCCTGGGACCCATGCGTTGAAATCTTCGTGCCCGAGTACACAATCCAATCCTAAAATGTTATTGAATAATGAGGTAGACACCTAACCTAAGCAATGGATTAACCCCTTGCTTGATTAAAAAACAAACTTGACTATAATATAGGAAGATAGTGAACTGTGGGAGGTAGGGTCTCATTGGAGGAAGTAGGTTGCCAGGGGGCCATGCCTTTGAGAGCTTATCTTTCTTTCCCTGGCCTGAAGTTCCTCTTCTGTGCTTCTCAGTTGCCCAGACCTGAGCAGCTCTCTTCATCACTCCCTGTCTATTTGATATCATCTGCCCTATTTCTGCTCCCAAACAATGGAGCCATCTGACCATAGAATGAAGCCCCTGAAACAGTGAGCAAAACTCAGTCTTTGCTGCCGTTGACTTGTCTCTCTGGAGTGTTTTCCCAGCAGCAATAAAATAACACACAGTGGAGGAAATGTTCTTGGTATTCTGAGATAAGAGCCTGGAGTGACTTAAAAAAAAAAAAAAAACATTTAAGCTGGGCATCAGTTAAGGGAGGCAGAGGAAGGCGGATCTCTGTGAATTCGAGGCCAACCTGGTCTCCAGAGCAAGTGCCAGGATGCCAGGATAGGCTCCAAAGCTACACAGAGAAACCCTGTCTCGAAAAACCAAAAAAAAAAAAAAAAAAAAAAAAGAAAGAAAGAAAAGAAAAGAAAATGAAAAGTAACTAATATAATTATTATTGATTAATCTTGATTACCAATTTGATAGGACTTAGAATAAACTAAGCGATAAACCACTGTGTATGTGAGTGAGGACATTTCCATAAGGAAAGACCTATCCTGAATCTAAGAGGCTCCATCCCATGGGCTGTGATCCCCAACTGAATAAAAAGGGAGAATGTAAGCCAAGTGTAAGCATCCCCCCTTCACCCCACTTCCTGACTGTGGATGAAATGTGATTGGCTGCTTCATATCCCTGTTACCACAGCTAAAGCTACTCTCACCATCATGCCTGCCCTGAATAGTAGACTGGACACCCAAAGTTTAAGTCTAAAAAGCCCCTTTGTCTCATAAGTTACTTTTCTCCGGTGTTTTTGTCATAGCAGAATGAAAAATAACTATATCACTTCTCACCCAGAGACTAGAGGCATTCTTAATAGATATATACCCAGAATTAACTGTTCCCTAGCATGGTACTTTAGGATAAATTCTGTCCTAGAGTATGTTTCAGTCTTAGCTGTAATTCCTGTCAATGTGATCTCATCTGGAAAGATGGTCTCTACCAATGTAAAACGTTGATGCCATACTAGACTGGTGCTGTCCATAAGCTGATGATTGGTAAGACGGATGTCTGGGTGAACATGCCCATGTGCACATGAGCACACGATGCCATGCTACCATAGAGGTAAATATCTGGGTATTATATCAACAAACCAAGGATATTCAGCATGGTTCCAGGACAAAAAGGTGCTAGGAAGAGGCAAAGAAGAACCCATCTTCAAAGCAGAACCTGGCACATCTCAGACTTAGATTTCAGACATTCCCCTCCCTGAGAACTGTGGGAGGATATGTTTATACTATTTTGATGCACAGAGTTTGTGGTACATTCCTATGGAATGTCCAATTTTGTATTAGGAATGCTTAAATTCTTATTACAGTAATTTGAGCTTCTGGGGTTGGAGGCATGATGGCATCATAATGCATGCAGCTCAGAAGGAATGAATGCTCTATTTTGAACGTAAACATACTGTTTATGTACTTGAATGAGAAAAAAGTTAATTAGCTGAAGGAAACAGTTCTTCACAGTGTGAGTGTGCACTTGCATGAGCCAGAATTTGACATGAATATTTCGACTTACCTCTGTTTGGCAAGGATATGACAGCTATTTCATAAGAATATTTGAACAGTCCAGAGTCTAGGAAGCTTGTTCTATTTTATTGAAATACAAGGAAACATCCTAGGAAGTGATCATGATTTCAATTTTGACTAGAACCAAATAGCATCCTAGCAATTCTGCATAGGTCATGACTACTTGAACTAATGCACAAATCTTGGAAAACGTGTTAGCTTCACAATAAGCAGGAGCAACATTTAATCAAAACACTTCATTGTTGCAAAGCTTTAGAAGGTTGCTCTTGTGGCTGCTGTTCATCAATATGTGCCTGATCTAACTGAAAATCTTCATTGCTGATTCTACACATTTCTCATCCTCATAAGGCTTCCTCTGGCTGCCAGGCTGAAGAAACTTCTTCACTGTGGGGAGGTTGCTGACTCTGGTTCTCAGTGCCTGCAACAAACAAATCAGAGCCTCAGAGAGCAGCTGAAGAAAAAGCTATTATTGCTTGTGCAGCACTGTGCCCCTGTCAGTCAAAGACCAACCGATCCCCTTCATCAGCAGCAGGTGGAGGTCAGAGACAGACACTCAGGGAGAATGAAGTTGAGAGGGGAAAATGGAGCTTTCCCCCAGTACATCTTAAACACTCCTTCTTCTCGAGTGGTTCCCATCTTCTTCCATGAAGATCTGGGACAATAGAGTCAGAAATAGTGATAGAAAATAAAACAGGAATCTGGGTCCAGTCACAACCAACCTTCACACTGAGAAAGGA